ATTGTCTGGATTATCCTTTGTTTTAAACAGATACATTCTCAAGAAATAGGTTTAACAAATAACAGTATATTTTACCGCACAACTTATTCTATATCAAAAGCAACTATACCACCGTCGAATGTTGAGAATATTTATTTTTTCTAAAACAGTGGCTCATATCATACAGCTTGTATAAAAATCATTCTAGAGAATAATTATAATATGTTTTAGGTTTTATTCTACGAAAAGCAAGAAGGGATGATTTGTCTCTATGAGTTAATCTTTTATCAGTTTTTTTTTTAACTAATGACTAAATAAATTTTCACAATTTTTGATATTATTTACGCGGGTATACGGTTATATTCAAACCATAACTATATTTCCGGTTTTCTAATATAATTAATATAAATTTTTACTTAGTGTAAATAACTACTGCTTTACTATTCATGATCAGATTGAATACAATAGATTTTCTCTTTAGTTCACATGATTTATGTGGATTGTATATTAACATTATAATTATTTAGATTTATCTAGAAAGAACAACTCTAATGATGTTAGAATATTCTAATCTATACTGAGAATGGCTTATTTCGAAAAGTATAAAAATTTTCATTATAAATTTTGGTTATGCTTTATGATGGGTGCTTTTAAAACATCACATTATACAGGCTGGCCCAATTAAAACAGTGCACCTGAAATATTTTCAATGCAACAAGTTTTTCCGGAAAACCCCGAAACAGGTCGATTTTGTTTTCAAGGGGGACATCTTTTGATAATAAATTCATGGATGTAGGATCATCCCCCTAAACGGGGTCGCAACCCCTTCAAGAATCTTAAATAGCACGGGGGGTTAAGTGTTGATTCAAAAAGTCACGTACAGCGGCTGCATAGTGTGACGGAGCGCCATCCTGTTGAAAAAATACATCATTCTCTGGGATCTGACCGTCATTTTCAAGAATCTTCACAAATCCTTGCAGTTACCCGGGCCATTTCAGTATTTCGAAAATAGAGAGTGAAAATACTCAGTATATTATCACAAATAAGTAAAATTATCAAAATGCTCAATATCGAATGAAAGTGTACTCAATAATTTCACTCAATCCGTATTTTTACTGCTTTCACTCGCACCGATTTTTTTACAGTGTATCATCTCATTTTCCCAATAATATGTGGTAGTTCCCTGCACAAACTGGGACATTCTGTATAGCAAAATCATGCCCATCCAAATGACCTTATTGTCTGATGGACGTTAACCTTTAGATGTATGTGTTCCTAGTTCTTGCGATGGCCCACGTTGTACTACGCGAGGTGCATGAACCTGACCTCTTAGACAGAATGTTTCACCTTCTGGTATTTCGCTGCTAGTCCTAGAGTACATACAAAATTTTTTAGCTGTTTATTGACAAGAACGTTGCATTTTTAGAAATACCTCGAAAGAAGTTCATCAGAAAAATAATATTTGGCTTTACAAATATCCTTCATGATTTTATTTTTTTTGTTTTATTTTGATGTTTGTTTGATTGATTGCTTCCTTTAATATAACTGCCTTTCGCATATAATGTCAGGAAATAAATTCTGAAGTCACAGATCAAAATTTTTTATGATAGAAGCCTCAAATTTGAAACTTGGTAAGATGGTGACCGTGCTGACAGAACTGAAGTAGGCAACCCTTTTCTAGAACATTTTGGTGTATTATATTTCATTAATTGCTGCAATCAAGACGAGCAACTTGAACTTTCACAATATGTGAATCATTTTAAATACTTTCCTCATACATAGAAATTCTAATAAAAGTCAAATTGTTGGTTTAGATTTTCCAGCACCATGGATTAAGTATATAAAAAAATTTATTCCACATATCTGTTACAATAAGGATTTATTTGTGAGAAATACAATTTAGTAGAGACATTCATTAGTATTTGGCGAGTGAAAGATTTGTTTGTAGTTGGTAAGGTATTTATTTGATTAAAAATACCAAATATTTAGTTCTAACGAAAAACATTTTAGACATTCATTAAAATATTTGCCGTGCAGAGAATATATTTTTTTAAAAAACATATTTAATTGGTATCCGTATTTGTTTATTATTAGAAAAACTACTTTAATTGTCACTATTAAATAATTTTTATATTTACATTTATTTGTATTATAAGGGGTGTTAAAAAAAGAGTGTAAAATATTTCAGGAGGTAATAGTATGAACCAAAATAAGCAGAAAAGTCTTAATAAACATAGGTCCGCAAAGTAACGGTTGCGGAGATATGGATTCGTTTTTCAAACATTTTATTTTATTAGAAATAAACCGACAAAGGAAGCTTTTAACAAACAAAAAACAAAGTTACAGAAGATGTTCAAAGTGTCCTCCGTCCATTTCCAAGCAGGCACGACATCTTCGTCTCAACGATATTCGAACTCTTTCGAAAACACCCTCCTTGGTTTGGATTTCTTGACACTTTTGATTAATCCGTAGCTGCAGCTCTTCCAGGCTATTTACAGGAGTACCATACACTAATGTCTTCAAATATCTCCAAACAAAGAAATCTAGAGGGTTCAGATCAGGCGATCTTGGAGGCCATAAAACAGGTCCGGCCCTTCCTACCCATCTATGTGGAAAAGTTTGGTGTAAATGCTCTATAACGGCCATGGAAAAATGAGCTGGAGCACCATCATGCTGGAACCACATTTGTTGCCTCTGATTCAAAGGAATGTCTTCCAAAAACTCATACAGTGTGTTCTGCAGAAAGTTGAGGTAAGCAGCGCCTGTTAATCGGTTTGGTAAAACAACAGGACCTAGAAACCTGTCACCTACAATACCCATCCAAATGTTTAATGAAAAACGTGCCTGATGTCCAGATTCTATTAGAGCATGAGGATTTTCGTCGGCCCAAATATGCGTATTGTGAAAACTAAACACTCCATTTCTTGTGAACCCGGCCTCATCAGTAAAAAGAATGTTTGCAAGAAAACGAGGGTCTTCAGCATCATGACGTAGAAACCAGCAGCAAAAAACCAAACGTGCTTGATGACAACATAAAGACAAACAAATAGTTAATAAGAAAGATTAAAGAATTATAATATACATCCTAATAAAACAACATTCTTAAGTAAAAAGCAAATAGTAAATGATAAAAACCAATGAGAAAAATCAATGCTTCTTTATTTTAGTTCACAAATACATAACAGGCTAATAAAAATGTATATTTTTGAAAATATTCAGATAGTAAGTTATCCAGTTCATCCATAATAACGTACATTCACACCACTGAGCATCTATAAACTCAGTAATGGCTGACACTGTTCTACGCAACATACTCCGTCGACTATTCACGATTATGCATTAACTAATGTAGTAGTATATAATTTCAACGAATAAATTTATTTCTTAGAGGTACCTCAATGTACTTGTGTTTGGAATTACATGATTCGTTCCAATCGATAATAATGCATTTTTATTATTATATTGTTCGTTTCTTTCTATAAATATAAATCTGGACAATTGTTGTAGGCACTAACATATTCTGCAAAAAAATTTTAGTAATGCATACAATCAATTCAATGATTTCCTTAAAACAAAATAATGAAAATGAATGGTTCAATTTTCGCAATTATATCAATTCGTGACATAATTTCATTGTAAATTATAGAACATATTCTGCAAAAAGTTTTTTAATAATAATTCAATGAATTCCTTAAAACAAAATAATGAAGATAAATTGTTCAGTTTTCACAATTATATCAATTCGTGGCATAATCTCATTGTAAATTATGGAAATATGATAAAAAATTGACAATTTTAGAAAACTAAAGCTTCCTACTATACTAGTTTACGATGTTTAGTTTAGCACCCGTGCTATTCCGCCGAGAAACAAATGCAGTTGCACCGACCATCCTCGTCCTAGCCACGGCACGCCTGGATTCCCGTTCGCCGCATCTAATAACGAATATAAAATTACACGGGCATGGATGGAGAATCGTAACTAGCGCACACACGAATACTCGTACTTTGTATTCATCAACGGAACGAAAAGGTTACGCTTTACGTCATCGCGATCTCGAGGGACCTGTAGGCATACGCTCGGAGGGGAGAAGCTGTTACCAAGTCTTGAAAGCACTGATTCTAATGATGAAAAAAGACCAAAAGTACGATGTTTCATTGATCCAAGGACCTCAGGGGGTTCGGCACGTCTGTAAAGATAAAGATCTCCGAAGAATTAACGAACCAGAGAACAATTTCCACAGACTTATTAAAATATCAACCGCTGAACGCTGAATGTTCTTTTATTGCGGGATGTATTTATTACTTATGAACAATACTCAACGCAGTGACATACTAAAGAATAAGATTGACTTCCAACTGATTCTAGCTGTAATCAATTAATACTGCAAATGTAATAAAGAAACTTTCAAATATTTTTTAATACAATATTTTTCAAATGTTAACTTCTTCTCAATGGAAACAGAACTAAGGAAAAGTAAAGTAGTAAAGTAGAGTAGAAGTTTCTAAAGAGTCACGCAATAAATCCACTCCTTTGTCGTCAGCCCTATAAAACAAAAGTCTGTTTGCTAATATGGGGCTCACAAACCGAATCCTTTTACAATTGAACTGAACTGGTTTCATAAGAGCTGCCTTTAGTTCTTACTGAAAATCACTTTCATACAATTCGCACAAGATTCTATGATATCACACAAATGAATGTTCCTATTGCGTAAATATTTAATACCCCCAGGTTCTATTTCTAAGGAAATATTCCCGAAAAACTATGTATGTGAAATTTCTCCAGCGTATACGAGTAGATACTTCCAAACTTTGAACATTAATCATATGACTACCGTAACATTAAATTCCTTTGGACGTTTCACATCAAATTACTTTGAAACAACTATAATCCCACTTCGAATAATGAAAAATGATTCTAGTACCTATATAGCATATAATTGTAATCTTCTTTACCGTCAGTTATAAATTCATTAATCAAATGTTATACATTCGTAATTGTCTATTTTCTTTTTATATTTCAGGAGGATTTGGAGACGAGAAAGGATATTTTGGTCCTTGGAGAACATGTAAATTACTTTTGTACAATAGAGAGCGCTGTGGGAAGGATGCGTCTAGATTTAAAGTGTCAAGTAAGTATTTACCGATCTCGATACTGTTTACTGTAATACCTTAATTATTCAGGGTGTCCCACTAAGGTCGACGAGGGATGATATTAGAGAAATTATAGGCCATAGAGCTTCGGGGAAAAAAATCATTAATAAATTGACCAACAGAAATCGCTGGAAATAGTTTTCAATTTCGTAATTTGACCGCTAGGGGGCGCAATCTACATACCAAAACATTGAGTTGAATTTTTCTTATAAACGTTTCCTATTCTGGTATATTAAATAGTACTAATATGGATAGCCTGATTCATTGCGCATAACTTTTGTTTTTGACATTTTGTTCTATCTCTCAAATAGTGTTATACCTCGTTGGAAAGGTCTTTTCATCCTTTATCTCGAGGTGAATGCGTAATGTCATTTACCTCAATATGGAAATCTATAGATGGCGTTATTTCAAAGGAATGCCGTTTTATGAATTTTTCCCAACAATTTTAAATGCAATGCTATAGTTTTCTTTACATAAATGAATTCAACACAAAATTGATGAATATTGTATAAGTTTGAAATTTCTAACGAAAGTGTAGTTTATTTATTGGCGCTATTTATCCAAGTTTAGGTTGTTTCACGTTCTCTTAAAAAAATGAAATAGCAGGATAAAACTTTGTATAGGTTAGTTTGAAGAGTATAAAAATAGCTAGGTTTCGACGCCGAAATAAAAACGTGGTCGAAGTTGGCTTTGACACATTGGACGTAGGGAGTAGCTTATAGCGACCAACTTAACCTCATTTCTCAACGAGCTGTATAGCAGCTGTCAGTTTCAATAACGTTAATGACTATATAACTTTATTTTAAAGAATAATCGTGATAACAATAACAAACAATTAAAGGAGCTGCGGAAAGTGTCCCCCTCCTTGTTATAACAATAAATTAAAGCAGCTGCTGAAAGTGTCCCCCTCCTTGTTCCAAGCACTTTTCACACCTGTTCCTCAAAGAATTAAAGACATTTTCTAAGATGCTCGGGGTATTGTTAATTTCACGAATCTTGTCTATAAGTCGAGCCTGCAGATGGTTTAAATCAGGAATAGGCAGTTCAAAAATAGTGTTTTTAAGGTAAGGCCACAAAAAGAAATCACACGGCGTAATATCACATGACCTCGGTGGAAATTCATGTTCAGCATTGAGACTTATTAGTCGATTTTGGAAAACTTCCCTCAACATATTCATCGTCTCGCCTGCCGTATGTGCCCTTGCGCCATCTTGTTGAAAGTAAAAGTTTGTAATTTCGTTTTCTTCCAGCTGGTTAACAAAAGGAGCGATAATTTCTTCTCTATACCTTTGCGCAGTAAGAGTACCATTAAAAAAAATAGGTCCATAAATCCTCCTTCGATTGAGAGCACACCAAACTCCAATTTTTTGAGCGTGTAGAGGGCCCTCGACAAAAAAGTTATCTGGTTTTTCAGAAGACCACATTCTCATATTCTGTGAGTTTACGTAACCACTTAAATGAAACCAGGCTTCATCAGAAAAAAAGGTGATATTATGAAGTTCACCGTAGTTGTTTAAAAACCATTCACAAAATACAGCCCGTCGCGGAAAATCAACTTCATGAAGTTCTTGCTGACAAGTTAAACGATAGGAGAACAAACGCAAATCTTTTTTTAACACTGTGTGGCAGGTACCGACTGATACTCCCACCATTTGTGATAAAACACGTACAGAAGTTCTTGGCGCATTTTCCATTATTTGTTGGACATTTTCTTTTAATTCTTCAGTCCGCTTTTTAGGTCGGCCGCTTCCTTCTTTTCTTGTTACACTGCCCGTTTCACGAAAAACATTAACACAACGCTGAACTGCACTTTGAAAAATTTTGTACTCAACAACGCCGGGAAATTGATTTTGAAATTCTATGAAACATTCCTCAATAGAATACTTCCATATTCCATCAATCTTGCGTCCATTTCTAAAGTAGGACTCTATGATAAACACTTTTTGTTCTTGAGAAAACACCATTTTAAACGCTTTTTAAAACGAAAATATTCAAATTGATAGCGGCGATATAGCGCTTTGACAGATGACGTTTAAGTTCATTTGCTATACGCTACGCCCTACGTCCAAATTTTCAGAACCAACTTGACCACATTTTTATTTGAACGCTCGTTATATCTTTCTTTGTTATCAAGTTATTCGCAAATTAGTGAGCAAAAAATAAATATGAAGTGATAATGATGGTAATGACTTGAGGAACACGGCACTAACGAAAAGACATTTATTACCAAAACAAAATGCGTTTATAGGAGATAAAGCATGAAAAGAGATTTCCAACGAGGTATAATACTATGGGCTTTTGATGAGCCAATTTTTAAAAAAATGCACTTTTCTGATCAGACATTAGGGGCTTCCCCCACCATTTTTGTCGAGAGATAGAACAAACTGTCGATAACAAAAATTATGCGCAATGTACTATTTAATATACCTGAATAGGAAACATTTCTGAGAAAAATTCAACTCTATGTTTTGGTATATAGATTGCGACACCTACCGGCCGAGCTACGAACTATTTCCAGCGATTTCTCTTGATCGATTTATTCATCAAAAATTTTTTCCCGACGATCTAGGGCCTACACTTTCCCTAACATCGTACCTAGACAACCTTAGTGGGACACCCCTGTACACTGTATGATGCAAATGAAAGGAGCAAATTCATTTCGTAAATCGGTGACTTTAAACAAAAATCTTGAAATAGGTCAATATTAGTGCATCCTGCGAGATATTTGTTTTATATATGACGTCATCTACGAGATGATGAAGACGTCATCGATATTTTTTTAAATATTAAAGTGAGTCTTGCGATAGCTCTTTTGAAAGATCTTGTAATTCTCTATTCGACCACTAGGTTTAGGTAATAAAATTTTGTATAATGTCAAAAAAAATTACAACAAAAAATATATTTCTAACAACCCAAATTGACGAATCTTAGTTATAATACAGTGAGAAAGACACACACGAAGACAGTACACTCTTCTCGAATATCGTCTATAACTTGCGGAGTTATTCGTGCTATCTTCGTCCAAATGCGTTCTTTTAATGCATCTAGATTTTGTGGTCTATTTTGGTATATTTTTCATTTTAAGTATCCCCATAAAAATAAACCTAGAGAAGTTAAATCTAGAGACCTTATCCCTTATCCACCTATCTCGGAAGACGTCCAAGAAGCTTTTTAACAACACAAAATGTCAATGTCGCCATCTTGCTGAAGCCGCAAATAATTTATGTTTAGCAGCCAATTTAGTACGGAAGCAAATCGTCTTGCAGAAATTGTAAATATCGTTGATATGTTAAGGTTCCTTGGAAAAAGTATGGTCCTACGATCATATTACCTATTACTCCGGCCCAAACATTCTCTTACTCTGGGTTTTGAGTGTGATACTCCTGCATCCAATGAGGATTTTCAGTTGCCCAATACCGATAAGTTTGATGGTTTACACGACCATTTAGGAGAAGCGTGGCTTCATCAGAAAAAGTCTTTTTAGAAACATCGGATTTCGGTTAATTTTTTGCATTAAAGTTTCACAAAATTCGATTCATTTATCAAAATCGTCTTCCAAAAGCTCCTGAACTATTATAACTTTGTAAGGATGCCACTTTTCCTTTTTTAACATTCTAAGAACTGTTGAATGATCCATGTTATTATCTAATGCTACGTGCGGTGAACTGGGGATTTTCTTAAAATGCTAGTAGAACATCTAGTTTCTTATTTTAGGGTATTTGTTTTCTATTACTTTTAGGGAGGTCTTTTATATAACCCGTTTCCCTACACATCTTTTAAATTTTGCTTGGTTATCGATTAGGGCATTTATTATTAAATAAAGTACAAACTTCTCTCTGAATCCTGGTTTTGTCTACACAATCAATCATTATTAGAATTTCTATTATTTCCGTTTCAGTAAGATTCGTGTTGATAAAAAAAAATTCTAAATAATTCTAGGATACCAGCATTAACTACTTGAACTTGAATTAAGTCGATTTGAATGTAGCCATCTGGATAATATATTCACATTTTTAAAAAGGCACAAAATGTGTGAGTCAAATAAGCCTTTTTGTCTCCCCTTCCCTTGGGTTTAACCAATAGTATTAAAATTATTTAGGAGATGCTTTGTTTTTGAGATATAGGGTGTTTTTTTTTAGAAAAAAAAATGATGTCGATGAAAACAAGAGAAATATTTAAGTACCTAACATCTAATGTGACTATGTCGTAATGCGACTACGTAACGACTCCTGCAATACTCCTAAATTTTTTCAGGCGGTTTGTAGTCGCTTCATTTACTTGTGTTGTGTACTTTTAAATAAAATAAAATGGCAAACAATACATGAAAATTTATTTGTAAATTGAAACAACCAAAAAATTACCAATTAATATTATACCTAGACAAAGCGAAAAGTGAATCAAAAATGAAATGATTTAAAAAATATTTTGTTCAAAATGGGCGCCTCCGGAATGTAGACAAGCACGGCATCTTCTAATTATGGAGGAAATGGCCGATCGACACTGAATTGGAGAATTCTCGACACGCTTGGATTATTCCCTGTCTTAGATCTTCTAGGGTATCAACTGGCATCTCGTAGACTTTTTGTTCAACAGCACCCCAAACGAAATAATCCATCGCTGTCAAGTCCGGTGAACGTGCAGGCCACGACCAATCCATCTCGTGGGATAATTAATGTTTAACCACTCCCTAGAACCTCTACCAAAATGGACAGGACAACCATTTACTTGAAACCAACTGTTCATTCGAGTATTAAGCGGAACATCTTCTAACAGAACTTGAAAACCATTTTCAAGGAACTCGGTAAAGATATCAGCATTTAACCGATGCGGAAAGAAGTAGGGACCAACTATAGTGTTGTCCAACATACCTAACCATACGTTACATTGGAATTCATGCTGAAAACTAAGTTCCCTTACCGCCCCTCATAGGAACAAATATGGTTGTTCCTTTGGTTTAAAATTCCCCTTCGAGTAAATG